CCCTCCTCGTTCCCTGGTAACTAGATCCTGTTTTCCTCTGTGATTAGAAGGAAAACTGTGCCTTTGATCTAGAGAGAGGAGAGGGCTGGGTGGGGATCTAACACAGGGAGAACGCTTATCTTAACTAAGTAAAAAAGGTCTATGTGGCAGATGCTGCCTTGCAGAGGACAACAACTAACCTGAGGTGGATCTACATTGTCACACGACCTAGCTCCTCATTCAACCTAACACCCTGGACCCTCCCGTGTCCTTCACATCATGCTATAAGACAGCACTCTGGCAGGCTGTGACACCACCTGAGCTGGTATCTAGAGCCATGTGGACACAACCTTCACCAGTTGGACATCTAAGCTGGACATCTCCTTTATCCCATACGTTGTACCTGAGGCTGATCAGCATTGGTGGGACATGGGTTTCAGCAGAGCAGGTTGCTTGCAGAGCTCCCTAACGCTGATCTCTTCCCTTCCCAGAGAGCCTGGAAGCAGTGTTGGCAAGAAGTATGATGGAGAATGTAAGAAGGAAATTGCTACAGTAAGTGAATAGTGTGATGAGGGACTGGGTTTCAGTCCCGCTGATGTCAGGGGAAGCACTGCCAGGGTCTGCAGCAGCCCCCAGACCAGCAGCATCCTACAGGAGTGTAGCTGCTGCTGTGCTTCAGCACAGGGGATTTTGCTTTCTCCACACATAATATGCAGTACCCCTGCTAACGTCAGAAAAGGAAGAGGGTGACTACACAGGAAGGGATCGGTAAAAGAGTAATAGCAGGAATAATATATCAGGGCAGAAATGAGAACAACAACTGAGAATGGCTTTTGGGGTCAAAACAATGGTTCATCAAGCTCATGATAGCTTGATGCAGAGCCTGCTCTTAGCAGGGGTCATAAGGATTGTGCTAGGAGAGAGTAAGAGTAGAGTGACTATGTATGGGACTTCTACTCTTCCAACCTCCAGCTATTTTCAGGTGATGGACCTCAGCTAGGTGTGATATCTGTGTAGTCAGTAAGCCTTGATAGATTTCTGCTCTGTGAAATTCCTCAGCCTCTTCCTGGACTCACATACATTTTTTGCACTATGATACTTCTCAGCAAGTGTAGCACCCATTGCACAAAGAAACAAAATCCAGCTCACAGTATCTACCTAAGTGTTGATCTTCCTGTTTTAAGACTACGAGAGAGATACTGGACCCTTATACAGGCATCAGCACCTACACTTCTCCAGACACCAGTGGTTTTCTATTTAATTTCCTGGCTAGGTCGGGAACACAGTGTGATATGATCACAACCATGGCACGTTCACAGAGTGAACTGCTGCTGCTTAGAAATGCTGTGGTCAGGTTATGATATACATATCTTCAAACAGGAAATTCTGATCTATTTTTATATTATTAAATTCTTCTGGTATAGGAGAAACTGACACCTCAGTTCATATCAGATTGTGCAAGGAAGTTAATTACTTTTGGTTAGATCGTGATCATTAGCACTGCAGCTGTAGCTAGGGGTTCAAGCCCTTCTGTTATTGATGCCTTCATATCCTTCACATTAGACGTTTTTTTTTTCTTTTTGCAGATTGACTGCAGTGACTACCCTAAACCTGTCTGCTCGCTTGAGTACATGCCTCTCTGTGGCTCTGACAGCAAAACATACGACAATAAGTGTAACTTCTGCAATGCAGTCGTGTATGTACAAACACGGATCACAATCACGTTTTCAGTTGCCTCCTATAGACACAAGTCTGCACTGTTTGCTGGCCAGCATTGATTAGGGATTTGGGGCAGGACAGAATACCAACCATCGTGCCAACCATTTGTTTTTTTTTCATTAGAGCCTACAAAGAGCTATGTCTAGTTTGTTTGTGTGAATGGTTTGAAGACCATTAAACTTAATGGAATTTTTCGTGCATGTTGCAAAGAAAATTAAATTTGAAGTTTCATTATAGTTTCCCCCCAAATATTTTCAGTCTTAAGAAGAGGTTAAATCATTTCACTGAACTCTTAATAATCAAATAGCTAATGGCACTCTGAATCTACACGTTCTTTGGCTCTGGGGCAGGATCCTATCTCACATCTTCTCTAGGAGCCAAGCAAAAGAACAGATTATAGCAGGCAGGACTCTGTGTCTAATCTATTTTTAACTCTCCTTGCTTTCAGGGACAGCAATGGGACTCTCACTTTAAGCCATTTTGGAAAATGCTGAGTATCAGTGCTGAGAGAACTCACTACAGGATCCCCACTGGCAAATCCCAACTAAAGATCTCACCTCAGTTCATCTTGCCCTCTGGGGAACTCAGCTCACTCCTGATTTTCTTTCTCAATAAACTAAATCAGCAACATTTATTTGGCTTGTTTCATGTGTTGTCTCATGAAACATTTTCTTCGGATTTGTTGAATGATGATGCCAGGCTGAATAGGTTACGTGTTCACAGCTCTGGGATATAACAAGAACAACATCTTGCTGCCCTCCCCCTCACAAAAGGCAGAAAATTAAATACAGATGCATAAACCTGAGAGCTGTGTAACTTTGCACATAAACGATAGTCAGCCTACATTAGTGTTCAGACCCTTCTAGATGTTTGAGGTTGTAAAGGGCTGAAATACCACTCTGGAGCGATGACAGTAGCTAATCTTTCCTAAGGTATTTCTGGTGCACTTTCCCTGTGCAGGCATTACCAGCAAAAGCTGTTCAGACTGTGCTGGTGTCTGCACCAAGAGCTGATCTTTGGCCTCCTGAGCACAGTCCTCACCTGAACTTGAAGCGTAGCACTCTGCAAGGGCAGGCTGTTAGCAAAGCCCATATTTTTCAGACGCAGGAGTGGGCCCTGCTCATTTGTCTAGGTCCTCCAAATGACTTGTTTCTAGGCTTTTCTCATCTTGAAATTGTCCTTTAACAACCTCCAAGTGTTTTCAGATAAACGCCCTCTTAGGGATGGTTTCTCCTCCTGCCTACTTATCTTCTCTCATAGTCTTTAATAACATAATACTCTGCGAACCCAAGGAGTATTTCGGCAGTGTTTCACAATCCAAGGATAAAGTATCCTTCTGTTTTTTGAGAGTGTGACCTGTCATTGGCATATTGTCCATGAAATTTATTTTGCTTTTGTCTTCTGTTGGAGTACTGAATTGGTGGGATTTTGACCCGCACAAGAGAAACATAAACAAATTGAGCATATCCCTTCTAAAAAGTAGTATCTCCAATACGCATTTCTTCCGGGAGCCAAAGGGAGGGGGGTGCTTTTTTTCCTCGATGGGATGACCTCATCCAAAAAAGCGACGATTTGGTGGTAAAACAAAGGATTTACGTTGGGATGGACAGATGCATGAAGCAGCAATTTCAACTTTTCTAGGATCCAGGCTAGGGTCTCACATCATTCTGTCATCATCAGGCCATCAGTCCACTGCTGTAAGTCTAACCCATAATGCTAATGGCTTTTAGGGGAAACAACAATCGTAAATTCTTTGCAGATGCTCATAAAAGCTGCTCCATATCTTGTCCAGTCCAAGGACTCCCTTCAGTGTCTGGGACATCCTCTTGCTTGCTTTCCCAGTTCACTGCTTTCCTGGTTTCACCTGAACTTAATGATGCTTTACTGGGATGAAGCATGAAAATAAAAGTAGAGGCTTCCCACTCTGGAAGCAGTTCACTCAACGTTTTACTTGTGGAAAAGCACCACGTGTAAATAGGCACTGATAGGTGCACAGACAGAAAATCTGACAGCAGTTGCTGCTTAGGTTTGTACAGTTGCTCTTTTGCCTGCAGGGATTTTCTATGATCCTTCAGAACGAATCTGTCACATGTTTCACTTGAAATAATGACACAGAGGGTGTATTTAACATATCTAATCTTCTTGTGACTCATGTTAATGAAGAAACATTCTTCCTGATCTACACCATGGCTTACCTCTTGAGATTGCCACCCTGACAAAAGACCAAGAATATTAATTACTTCAGAACATGGCCAGATAAGTCAAATATGACTGCACACAAATACACACACATACAAACATGCTCGTGTATATAAGTATGCTTACCACCTGAAGGCAGAATTAAGGCTACATTTGCTGAGCGAAACACAGACTCCACTGCACACTCTTCAGCCACCATGAAGGCGGTAGGCGTGTTTCTGGTGTTTGCTCTAGCCCTTTGCTGCATCCAAGGTGAGTAGCTTTACTGCCTCCTGCTCTGTCTTTCGGTAAGCACTGGCTGTCTTTAAAACCACAAAAACATCCGCAGACTGGAGTTTCAGAGTTTCATTCTACAAGGACTTATTTACTCCTAGAAAGATAGTGTTGAAAAGACTTGACATCAAAGACTATCACTTATGGGGTAATATTTTAGCAACAGAACTGAGTGGGTAAGAACAACTGTGGGAACAGCTCTACTCTCAGTGTTAGTTTATGCATAACGGAAGAAGTGACATGTACGTGGTACAACCTGAAGACTCAGACATCCATTATTTAACCTCTGAAATGTTGTAGAAACACAAATTATTTTACTGAATGAAAGCAAACATTTCTTGTAGTCATCCTAAACTGAGATGCAATTTGAGAGCCTGAAGAGTTGTAGAAGCTTTATAAAAGTTACATCTCGCTAAATACTCCTTTTATTTAAGAACTATTGTGGCAATGCATATAAGATGGTGCCTCCATGTACTTGCCAGTTTTATGACCCTGTTTGCCTCATTAATTTGCTTAGCTTTAAGTACATGTCCTGCTCCATCCTTTGAACCATGGAAAATGCCTTTCTCTTCTTTCATTTTGCACACCTTTTCCTTCTTGGCTGTAACCCTCATTAAAAAAATTATACTACAGAATCAATGTTGTAAATATATGATATGGTGCAAAATTTTGCCTGAAATTCCTTTTGTCTAAGAAGTAATTTGCTAACAAACAGTGAATTGAAAGTTGAATAGTCAGGGGATGCATTCACAGATTCTAACTCTAACAGAACCCATGAATTGCATTTGTATCATATTTTCTTCTTTTTTTTTCTTTTTTTCCCAGGTACCAGTGCGATGGAGGTAAGGGAGAGATCTTTCTATTTTCCTTCATTTCTTTCCTTAAAGCAGTTTCTGTATAAATCCTTACTAATCACATTGTGATCGAGCATTTGAAAAGCCTGAGTCATTCAGCTGTCTGAACAATATTTGCCACAGATACTATTGGGTGAAATTGCCATTTTCATTTGATGATAGATTGAACAAGTAGCACAATACTCAGTTCATGTCCAAGTTATTGTCAAAATTACTGCAGCAGCATTTACAATGGTTACACAGGCTCTACATTGCTGGAGGCAACATATCACTGTGCTCCTGCCCTCTCCCTGGGTTTTTTCTCAGCATCTCCTTCTGGCCAGCACTGGGAGGGAGCTCAGGGTGTGTGTGGGGTCTCCTCTGTCATCTTTCTTACATATCTGTTGTTGAGAGCTTTTTTGTGAACATAGATTTCATCTATCTACAGGACTACTGCCGTGAGTACCTGGTACCCAGAGAAGTCTGTTCTACAGAGTACTACCCACACTGCGGGTTTGATGGTGTAACTTACGGCAATAAGTGCTTATTCTGCAATGCATTCCTGTATGTATGAAAATAAATATCTTCACTAATTAAATGGCATACTAACTTAGCTTAAACTAACTTATGAGTCTTGGAGACTGGTTGGAGAAGTAAAGTTCTTTTATTTTGTTTACCTGTTCTCTTACTGGCAAAGGTCAGGTTTTTTTATTGGAAGAATTTTCCAGGAATTCTTTTCTTTCATGTATAAAGAGGTCACATTTAGTAGAGTTCTTCATTTCCCTCTTAAGTAATTTGCTGAAGTGCTTTCTTCCAGCAGACAAAGTCTGTTTCCTACAGACTATTTGTTCTTCCTTTAAATTAAATCTTTGTCTTGTCTTTGAACTTTAGTAATAAAAGGAAATAGCTGGAATAGTGTTCAGAAGTTTTCTGTTTTCTTTAAGTTCCTCTACTATATATCCTTCACCAGAGGGAGAGACAAACAGTAAAACCCCAGATGTTTTGTCTCTGAGATACTGATTTCTTTCTCCACAGGAGAAGCGGTCGGCTTCTTCGCTTGAGACATCTTCGAGAATGTTAATTTCTCACCCGGCTTCAGCTCAGAAAGAGGAATCCTCCCTGGCGATGTTCCCCATGGCAGATGCTCCCCTAAAGCCTTGTCCTGAACCTTTAAAGCTTCTGATGAATCTTGAAACCTCTGCTTAATAAAAAGAAATCAGCATTTATGTCTGGCTTTAATAGTATGTCTCATTCTGTTTTTACCTAAGATGTTGCATGATTACATCACTGCAACAATCCCGGGGTGCAGGTATTAATTACAGGGAGAGAGAATACCTCTACAAAGAAATCAACCTCAACCACAAAGGCAATGGGTAGGTCTTGAGGGCACCTACCTTCATCCAGCTTTCCAAAAGAAAACCAGGGCTGGAGAAGCAGCCTGGTGCAATGCTCCAATTGACTGATTCTTCTAAGGGCATCTCGGAGAGATGTCCTCTGCTTGGGTGAGAGGAACTGTCTGCCTCCCCAGCTGCTGCAGTCAAGTAGTACTTGCTGCCTCTCCCCTGTATTACTGTATGGTAGACTTTGGCAGTGCAAAGAGGCCCCAGGCAAACCCGAACATACACATAATTAGAGGCAGTCCCAAGATTGTTGCGGTTGGGGGTGTTTTGTGGCTGCTCTGTAAAAGCCATGGAGGCACAGAGGGTCTTGCTGCCACCAGTAGCTGCTCATCCCTGTTTCAGTTTCCAGGGTTAGCCCCGATTTCTTATGCCCTCAAGAGAAGTGGTAAAGAAGGGCAGTTTCCCGGCTGCATCTCTTCCCCTTGCAAGCAAAATTGGAAACCCATCTTTAGGTGAGAGAAGCCCTTTTGCAATCCGCTCTGCTTCCCAAAGCAACAGGACTGGATGTTTTCCCTGGGCAGGCAGATACCTGGCTGCCAACGTTCGTGTTTGCGATGTTCATCTCTACAGGGTATCGCAGAAAACCAGTGGGCAGTCAGTCCTAACAGACCTGATGTTCAGAGGACTTCTAGCAATCGCTACCGCAGCCCGTTTCTGCACCTCACCCACCACTTTGCTGCTGCTTGTAGGTAATTACATTGACTGTCGCTTGTAAAGGATCCTTTGAGATTCTTCGGCCTCTGGAAACCTTAGCTGATGAAAGGAAGGGCTCAGAGTCACAGCGTTAATTTATTATTCATTAACAGCGAAATGCTGGCAGTGTGGCGAGCTTTACAGGCAGCAGTCTCACAGTCAAATAGTTAATGATCTTAAGCGACAATGTGTCACTTTCCAGAGACTGGAGAAAGCAGCTCTCTGAAGGGAGACAATTTATTGCCGAAAGACATGACTCTGCAACCGTTTAGTGCCAAGTCCCTTCCCAGGGCTGGAATGTCCCTCCCGTGAGAGGGAGGTCTGTGTGTGGGAAGGCATTTCAGTGTCAGATGCAATTTCTTAGGACCCAGACAAATTGAGGCTCTGGGAGGTAGTGCCGGGGGTGCGTGGCTCAGGGCCTTCATGCTCCGTCTTGTCCCCCTCCACTGAGCAAGGGATTTGCGGGTAAGAGAACACCAGCTCCAGTACTTATTTTCTTTCCTGGGGAGCAGCAGAGAGGATGAGGATGGCCCCCAGGAGCCATGATGCCTTGGAGAAAAGCGGAGCTCCTGATTGCGCTCAAGATCCCAGTGGTCCTCGGAGGGCATCTTCTAGGGGCCATGCCTGCTAAACAGGAAAATCCAGTAGGCAATTGAGGGGAAACTGTGAGCAGAAATGAACGGGGACAAATCCTCCACCCTGATGCAGAGTTATGCAGTATTACTCAGGAGTAACCCAGGGCAGAGCAGGACCCCAGCGGCACCCCTGGCCCCCTGCCCCAGAGGTGCCGCTCCTCAGGGTGGAGACGAAGGCAGTCCTCTTTTATGGGCACCTCATTGGAAATACTTTTTTTTGTTGCTGCTCAATAAAATCCTGCCACAACAACACAAAATCCTCTCACCATTACTAATCTAATGCTCCCCCCATGAAATTCAAGGCAGGAAACATTGTCTGCCTGCTGAGGTATTTTATGGTAAAATCCTTTAAGCAGTGCCTCGGCACTTTATGTCATTATCTGATGTCTGTGAATTTAGGAAATGCCATTCAATTACCCCACAACCTGATTAACACATTGCATGTAGTTATTTTGTTGTGCTCTATTTTATATCAATGTTTCGGTTTTAGTGTGTTGTTCTACTTGTTGCTGGCCAAAACATACCTCAGGCCAGTCTAGATCTTTCTGTTAATGCAGTTTCTCTCTGAGGCTTCATGCAGGATAAACGGTTTGTTACTACATTCTTTCTTGATGTGGAGAAAAATAAAATGATGTTTTAAAAGAAAATTACTTGGAGATGTCGTTTTTGGGGGCTGGCTGCGTCAGAGCTATTGCAGCGAGGCAGAGCTGAGATTTGCTGAGGGACTGGGATGTGCGGGACCAGATCCTCAGCCTTTTGCTGTCAGTATGCAGCTCCCAGACAGTCCAATTATTCCAGACACCCTTGCCTGTGATATCATCTCTGCTTAAAAGACTGGAGATATGCAGGCAGCAATCAGATAGCAAAACTACAAGGAGAAATATTAGATGAGTGCGGCTTAGAGCAGGGACTTTGCTTGCTGTAAATTGAATTCCTGTTCTCATAGGAGATCCAGTTCTGCCCCCATGTGCAGAGGTCTGGGAACAGCAACCTGTTTTGGGAGCTCTTGCAGTGTGCCACATCGCTAGTCGATGGCAAAGAGATGCGGGTTTGCATTTGTCTCTACAGTAGCATAGACTGGAGCATAGTACCGCTTTATTCTTGAGTACGGTGTGGTGTGTGACAGCAGGGCATGGGAGCAAGGGCAGTGATACCGCTGCTGGAATAACAGCACCTGGTCTTGCAAGTACACATCCACCTTTTTTATTTTCCAAAAAAATTAAAAGGTATCGGTTCTCTTTGTAGCCAGATGAAGCCTGTGACAGATTTTAAACTAAAGCAGGGAACATAAATGAAGAATTTTTTAGCTCGTGTTAGATTATGGACTTGCTTGAGATAGGGAGTCTCAAGACCAGAGGAAAAGATTCCCAGGAAAGTATCACTGCTATGGGAAGAAATAATGCTGGATTAGAAACTGGGTAGAATATCCAGAGTTATTGGAAATTTACCTTAATACAAGAGGATCCATCATATGACTACCAATGTTTATCCCATTCATGTGGCCATAACCTTCTTGAATGTTTGCCCTTTAAGAACTTGAAATAGCAGGATGAGTTCTATTTAAACTTCTCTGTGGATCTCATATCTGTAGAAACATTAAGATAATCCTGTGGCCAAAGTCACTCTACTGAGCCCACCATCACGATACTCTTAAATATCACAGAGAGGTTTTGGCAGGTGAGTTCACTTTTCCCTTCCCATTTGCAACATGTGTATGACATTTCCCGAAGCTCACTCTTCCAAATGCATGGAGACAGTTGTTTTTGACCGCTTGCCTGTTTTCAACCCATCTGCTGCCCCGCAATTACTTCTGTCCCATTCCCTCTGTTTCTTATTAATGGAGCTCCTTGTGCAATCCCACGTCACACCTACCCCAGCAGCTCTCACTGCCCTGCCCTCACTGCTACCAATTATCTCCCATCCTTTCTCATAGACCCTGTAGCAAGACTCCTTCCTTGCTTCTCTTTTTCTCCGTGCTGCCCTGCGAAGTGGCAGGGATTACTGGAGGAAAAAAGCTGCTTTTGGAGAAGTCCTGGTTGGCTACCCTGACCCTCAGAAATATCACATGGATCAGAGGAGGATCTCCCCATAGGATCTAATTAACCAAAAGGCAGGTGTTGGCCAAACATGGGAATGACACTGCTCCCTAGCAGATACCCTGCCAGTCACAACAGCTCCTGAGTGACCAAGGGGATTTCAGCCTGGCAGGAGAGGCGACTGGAGAAGCAGCACAGTTTCTGGTAACTGGGAATCTCAGATCCGGGTGCGGATATGGAGAAGCTCGGGTCGCAGGGTTGAAGAGGAGACCGACTACGTTCCTGTAGCCTCATTAACCACCGCAGAGCCAGCAAGTGTTGTCTCCACCAGCGGCTGGTGTAATTTCTGAGAACACCTTGTTTTCAGGCTTTGGCATTCTTGCCCCTGGAGAATAATCACTATTAATGTTTCTGTCGTTACTGCTTCTCTTCCAAATACGCTCACGATCGGTTTAAGGAATCCAAAAGTCAAGCCACTCAGGACACTAAGAATGCAACAGGAACAGCTTTCAAAGGAATCCTTCAGCTTCTGATATTTGTGAATGTGACCCAAACAGCATTACTCATTTATTTTTCAGGAAAATTATTTTATTGATATGAACAAGCCAAATCCTGCAAGCTCTATTCTGTGACTACAGTTCCCTTACACTCTCAGCTACATTTTTATGATTTATCTGCCCATGCCAAGACTTGAACATCTCACAGGATAAGAAAAACCATTCTGATTTTCTATTTAAAAGTCAGGCTGCCTTTAGGCCACATGTATGGATAAAGCTTCTTCTAAAGCACCAACATGTTCCATCCCTCGCTTCCTTCCATGACTACCTTAAATCGAAAATGCATTATTTTATGCAATATTCCTTATTTGTTTTTCCATACTTGTGATAGAGCTGAACCACTTAACTGAGCCTAGCACATTATTCTTCATTTATCTTCCCTAAAACATGACTTTCAGCTGACACTCTAAATTTAATGCCATGTAATAGAGGGAGAAGCGGGGAGTCTAAGGACTCACCTTCTGTTTGCAGCTGCTGCAAATTTTTCTTGAATGTCTTTGGTATTAAGAAGCCCATTTCACCTGCACAAAAGACCACTTGCTTGCCATTAAGAGGAAACATTATCCCAGATTTAAGGCTACTTACTCTTATCATTTCTTAATCAGGCTCGTGCCTGTTGCCAACAGATGAGTAACTCTTGCTCCTACATAGAAATGTCTTATAAACTTCTGACGTTTTAGGTAATGCTTTCCTCTTGTGAAGACTGTTTCCTTCCTATTGGTGTGAAATCCAGTGTAGCAGGGAACGATAGGAGAGAGTGTGGAGAGATTCATTGAGCCCTCAATACTTTAAAGTATTTTTTGTCTGTAAAACTTAGTGTCCCATGCTGCTGTCCCCCCACTCTGCTGTACCATGCAAATCTCCTGGAGCCCAAATACCACCTGGTGTATGTAATATGGTGTGCATAAGTTCAAACACTTTCAACAAATGGTTTGGTTTTTTTTTTTTTGCTTTACCAACTTCCATACGTAATTTCACAACATCTACTATTGAGACAGTGCTCTTGTTTGGAAAGTACAAATCACTCATTGTACAGCAGGGCGCCTTTGTTAACAAGCTGGGTGTAGCTCACATTTTTGTTTAATTCTTCTGGGCATCTCTCAAACAAACAAGTATTCTTTAGAGCTCGACTCAATAATCAATACAATTTTCCTAGGTTACAGAACAAATAATTACTTTCTGGGGTGACTTCACAAGGTCAGGGAGATGTATATATATAGAGTGTGGAGAGAGAAGGCTGAGAACCGTTTACAGAACTCAACAGCGACAGATTTGCAAGTAACAAACAATACAACCATCTCTGCTATGAGGACAACAACAAGCATTGCCCTTCTTGGGCTTGTACTTCTCTGCTGCCTTTCTGGTAAGTTGTTTTTGTTACAGTCTATGTTAGTATCTCTAGTCCTCCTGAATCTTTGCCTTGATATATACACCCTAAAGGAGAATTCAGCCTTTTGGAGATGTGATGATTTAGGAATACGCGGGCTCTTTTTTAATGAACTTTGTCCTTGTGCAGATAACTACTATAGATCAGTAGGATGTATTTGCCTGATTTAAGCCTATGAGCCTTAGTGGGGATAACAGTGCTGAAAAGGGAGAAAACTTCATGTCCTATTTCTTCCCTAGTGAGTCAAAATTTCTCGTTTTACAAATAATTGATTTTTTTAATCTTAGTGTATAACTTCTTGTTTACTTGGAGTAGATAAAACATTTGAGAAAAAAATCACTCTCAGTAATAAGAAAGTGTATTTGGTTACTCTGTTGGGAAATGGATAATTGCAAAGGAATTTTAGTCAAGGACGTTGTACAATTTTTATATTTTATAATCTCTGTTTTTATTGTAGATATTGTTATTGCTGAACGACGGGTGAGTAGTAGATCTTCTTTGTCATGTAGTCTTCATTTCTAAGTCTAGAGGGAGAAAAAAAAGGAGAGTGAGTGAGAAAGGAAGGAAAAGTCCCCCTAAGTATTATACCATCTCTTTTGGGGAAAAGAAAATACCTGTGTCAGAGAAAGATAACTTACCATGTTGATGATAAAAAAGACAGCGATTAATAATGTAGAGTGAGAGTCAGCACAGCACAGAGTGCCAGCAGAAAATCTATACAACTATTGGATAACTGCCTAAATATCTTCCTTGTCTTGATTCCTCAAGGAATGATCATTTTTGCCCACAATTCTTGCCAAAAGTACAGAAAGTCTTAACAGCAAAAAGATGGTTTTATGTGCTGTAAGAAACACGGTACATTTTGTTTATTTTGTTCCCTCTTTTCTTCACCATGGAGGAATGATAGAGAAAAAAAATGACCAACAGTAGTCTCCCAACGCAGTGAAAACATGATTAACACAAGCACGCCCTTCTCTCCACTTGGAGACATTACAAGTCCTCTTTAACAGGCCTCCTGCGGCATGTACCAGTTGTCTGAAAAATCACAGCTTGCCTGTCCCCGCAACTACGAACCCGTCTGCGGGACCAACGGCGTGACCTACCCCAACGAGTGCTCCCTCTGCAGCGAAATGTTGTGAGTATAAGGGCTCCCGATTACCTACAATGCCAGCTCAAGCAGAGGAAAAAAGCCTTTGGGGTTGTTACTAATCGTGGGGTGGACTAGATTTTTCGTAAGTTTCTGTCTTCGCTAATGCCTGCAATCTTCCATGTCAAAGCTCCTGAATCTGATCAATTTACTGGGCCTTACTGAGTGAGATGACAGCATAGTATGAACAGATTCATCCTTCTCTTCATCTTCTCTCTCTCCCTCTAGACGTAACCGAGCCCTCGACAAGAAGCACGATGGAAGATGTGTTAAGGTACGGTCTGAGACCGGTTCCTTCTCCTGCTGCGCTGAGCAGCGGTGGGTGAAATGACGGCAGAGAGCTAGACACAAACCTTGCCTAGGATTAATTCTCTATTAAAATCACACAACTGCAAACTGTCAGAAATGGAATGAAAATTAAGAATTTCAGGTTTGCAAGAATTTCTTTTAAATTTAGTTTCAACAGTTAAAATCAGTGAGTTTTAAAGTGTTATTTTCTGTGTAACACAAGACTTAAGAATGGAAACTTTTGATTTCAATAATGCTTCAGTGTTATCAAAACACTTCTCTTTAGACTTAGGCTCAGAGGCTTGTTGAAGCTAAGAGATTCCCAGGGGAAGTTTGGATTTTGACTAAATTGTAATTTTGCAACAGAAAAAACAATTCTATCAGAACATTTGTCGTAAAGTTTGTTTATCAATATACGGAGCTACTGTGGAGAAGTATCTCTATTTTTAGTTTAGAGAGAGAAAGTAGAGAATTGCTCTGGCTGTACAATTTAACATAACGCAGCGACTTCCATTTCAGTACACTCAGAGCAATTGCAGAAACACCGAGGTGAACATAAGCTCCATTTTCAAGTTGCATTGACATTTCGCAGCAAAAGTTGGTGCCGCATAAGGCATTTTAGACAAAGATCCTTCGTGGTGGCACTTATGGTGAAAATCCCCAAGATAACTGGGATGAAGCCCACTTCCAGACAGGAAAAAACCCAGAAACTCCAGGATCATGCCGTACCCACGTGGAGGATTTCAACTGCTTGTGCTCCTTCAACTCCACCGTGCTGGGGCTGGAAACTCCTCTTTCCCCTTGTAGCTCTGGGGAGTAGGGGAGAAGCCTCTTGCACCGTGCTCCGTTACACAGGACTGATGCAGAGGGGAGCAGAGATTAAAATGTTGTTCTGTGACTATTTCAGCTCGACTGTACGGGCTACCTGAGATCAAGCGGTGGCCACGCGACCCGCTGCACCCTGGAGTACAGGCCCATCTGCGGCACCAACGGGGTTACCTACAGCAACAAGTGCCACTTCTGCAACACCGTGGCGTAAGTGAAGGGGTTGGGTCACGGGAGAGATTTCTGGATCAGTAGGTGCTCGTGTTGGTATTTAGAGCATAACGAGGAAGTTTGACTCGTGAAGCGGCTGCGCTGTGCTTATTCATTCTCAACTCGCTCTCTTCCCAAAGGAATGGACTGGACATAAACCTGCGCCATTTTGGAGAATGCGTCCAGGTAAAGCGCGGAAATCTGCACTCTTAACTGCTGTTACAATACATTTTACAACATGAATTCACAGAATTATGACTAAATAATAGAAACACCTGCACTGTCCTGGTGCATTTGACCAGGAAATAGGATTTCAGGAAAGTAGTTAAAGTGTGCCAGGGTCAAGCGGTATTGAACCAAACCCATGTCTCAGATATGCAGTCCCTCCTCTGACCTGGGACCAGAGCAGTCAGCGGGTGCTGACAACTTCATTTACCGGGAAACAGGCTGAGCAAGAGATGCTGCCTCATCCCTTCTGCGGGAGAACAGGAGGGTCATCTACTACCAGCACTATCAGTAGTGGGTATTTCTTGGGTGGGAGTACATTCCGCAGCGTGGCTTGTGACCATCCACTTTCTGTACACTTGCCCCTGCCAGCCCGCTGAACCAGAACAGCCAGTGGGAGGGCCAGCCTGGAAGTACCAGCACGGTCATTTCACTATTTATAATAGTATTTATTAGATATTTTGCTCCCGCCTTCTCCCCACTTCAGGCTGCTCCAGGCAAGCACATTCTCTGCTTCTGAGTTTGTGGATTTGCTAGAACAACAGAGCCCTGTAGGCTGCTCCAGGCAAGCACATTCTCTGCTGAGTTTGAGGATTTGCTAGAACAACAGAGCCCTGCACCTGAAAAATGCTTTTACACTTTGCCATGTCATAAACGTTAAATAAACATAAAGCACTCATGTAGGAAAACATGGAGAACAAAAGCTTTAAAACCTGTTGTTGTGCCATTATTAGCAGATTGACTGCAGGGAACAGAAGGGTAACAATCTCATCTGCACCGCTGACTATAACCCCCTTTGCGGCTCCAATGGCAAAACTTATGGAAACAAGTGCCAGTTCTGCAACGCAGTTTTGTAAGTATGGAGCTCACCGCATAGGCATGAAACCAGAGGAGATGGAGCACACACCCAGCGATGGCAGCTGGCGTGGAAGCCCCAGAGCTCCCGTTAGCCCCTCGGTAAATCCATCCCTGCTCCACGTTCCCCTCCAGACACTCACTCCTCTGTCACCCCCCAGGCACCGCAGATCTTAAGCCCGAGTGAGTTTTCTCCTTCCCTTGCAATTAAATCCAGATCCCTCTTTGCAGGCTCATAGCCTTGCTGACTCCCTCCCTGTCAGATCGATTTAAACTGTGACAGTAGAAGGTGTCCAAAATTATGGGGTTTGTCCCAAATCTCTTTAACGTGAGAAAGCGTGTAACCTGGGGAATCAGGAAGGAGGTGAAGTACTTTATATCTTGGAGAGCACGAGGGCATTGACTTATTTGGGTCAAGTTAGACTATAAAACTGAGATCTGTCTGTAATTTTGGTCCCCTCTTTCTCTTCAGGCAAAGCCGAGGAACTCTGTTCCTCCAACACCGTGGCGAATGCAGAGTACTGAACTCCTTCCCTTCGCCCTGATTTTGCTCTTACAAATCCTGCAAACACGCACTTCCCTGCTCCCTCAACTGTTGCGCATTGGTCTCCGCTTTGATTGATCAATAAATTAAACACAGCGACTGTCCTTGCCACGGACTGGTTTTTGGTTTGTTGGTTTTTGTTTGGTTTTTTTTTTTTCAGGGCAGGGGTAATGGTCTTCAGGCTTTTAGGTACTTTTATCTGTCAGGCAGGAGAAGTTGTGAAATAAACCACAATAAAGAGCAAGGCGTAACGCCCATCGCACACCAGCCCAAGCCCTCAAGAGAGTACGTCACTCCATACCAAACCATCAGAAGAGAAACCAAGCTGCTATAAATACTGCCACTTTCCTAGCTTCGGGGTCTTATAGACTGTAAATGGGTTTGTCTTTGTTACAGCACTGAGCCTTGGAGGAACTGGTCCTTTTAGGGGCTCTGGCACAGGGGGATGGCCCCAGGGAAGTGTGAAGGGGAAAGGTGTCTGTGGTCAGCCCTACCTGGTCACACCTGGGCAAGGGGCAGGTCCGGCAGTGCATTGTAAAAAGGAGGCTTATGGCAAAGGGAGGAGGCTATCTCATAGGGAAGAAAATTAGGAACTGCTGCTTCCTTGAAGGGTGTGTCCATCGAGACTGTGTTGATCAGCAGAAAATTGCAGCAAGCTAGGCAAGGCTGTAATGAGCCTAATGAGAACCCAAGGAGAAATTAGACTGGGCTCAGGCTTTCAGCTTCTTGGAAAAGAGATGTGAAAAGTTGTACATGGGGTATTTGAGGCAGAGGTAGAACAGGGGACCCTTCAGGAAAAGGTCTTGGATTTTCTAACTCCAGGAAAGAAGGGCCAGAAGATGTGCTGGTAGTTCCAAGGTGCTTTCTGTGCTAGGAAAAAAGGTATGGAGATAACATCTTTGTGGGAGCCTAAAGAGCGCGCTGGAGGAGCGATGACATATATGAACGTTCGTCACAATGTGCCATCTTTTTGAGTGAGTCAAGGAGTTAATATGCAAACAGCACAAGCAAAAAGTCCCAAGTGCCACAGCTCACACACTCCCTTCCTCTTCCTTTCTCCACCTCCCATTCTCTCATTATGTAGCACGAATATCTGCTGCTAAGGCTGATATTTAGGACAAAATCTGTGACTTCCAAGCCTTTTTTGGGGGGTCTTGTTTCCTGAAGCAGATAATTTCTTGACTTGGAATTTTGTAGGTGCTTCCCACCAGAAGGTAAGAGGCTTGTCCTTCCCCTGGTACTAGCACAGAGCAGTCCTCTGTCCTAGGAAGAGGGATGGAACTTCTTATTTTCAGGTTTTTTTCTGGTAGTACAGGCAATACAAATCACGTCATGGCTTTCTGCCTACTTTTAAGAAAAGACAAACCAGAGGGTGATGAGAGTCCTCACTGCTTACCTGCTTGTGTGTGTGTGAAAAATAATTAAGGAACAGTCTCAGTAGGTAGTGGATGTGAACAGAGACCTGTCAGCACAGGACAGAGCTCTGCTATAATTTCTTGTTGGCCAAGAGGTTTATAGAGTGGCCACAGACCAGTGGAGTTTTGGTCATAGCAGGAAATTGTCTTCAATGGCAGGATCCTACTGTGAGGCTCCTCTGCAGTGGTAGCTCCTGCCTGAGGAAGCCAGAGACTTCGTTAGGAGCTCGGAAGGCTTTGGAAAAGCCCAAAAAAGGTTTGCTCATCTACAGGAAAAGGGAGGGCAAATGGCAAGTACTGGGTATGTGGCTGTATCCTAGAGGCCTCATGAGTCTCTAAGCAAGAACTCTTTAGAAGATGGAAAGGTTTGTATCACATAAGACTCAAGACTGGCCCAGCACAGGTAATTTCTTGGCTCGACATCAGCAAGACTCTGCCCAACTACATCCCTTAGTCTGCAAAGCAAGGTCCAGGTGCTCTTCTTCTACCCCTGATTTTCAGAGAAGTCAGAGGGACAGAAGAATTCCCTCACCTACACCAGCAAGTGGCCTGTTTCAGATGTTATAAAGAAGTGGAAAGGGGTAATAACGATAATCACCTGGTTGGTAATTTAGTCTCTTCCTCTTCTCAGCCCAGAAGGGGCTGGTCCCTGCGGTACATTTGCTAAAGCTTTAGCCAGTCAGTTGTGCTGCAGCAACCGAAACGTTTGGGTAGATGAAGGACTGAGGCATTAAGGCTGTGGTGGTGAGTAGTGACGTATGAGACCAGAAAAGGCAAACAAGTAGTGCTGCGAGTGGCAGAACTAAGCGTGGTTTTGAACGGCGCTGTGGCTGACTGACTTGATAACAAAATTATATGAGAGGCTGCGTCGTGAGCTCACTCTTAATAGACATCTAAGAATTCACCTGTCAGTCACGATTTCTCTGCTGTGTGGGTTTTAAGATGTCTGGCAAGATGCAAACTCTAATGCTTCCCAGATGTAGGGCATTCATAGCATTGCTCGCCTGCAGAAACTCTCTCCCTTGCTGGCTGAAGGTGTTAGTAGCATCTTTCCTCTGTTGCTAGAAAAGTGTACAAAAATGTATTTATTATTTCTAAATTATTTTGCTCCTATGTCAAATTTGGTTGGAACTAGTTGCAGATTCAAAATTCACTGGGAGAACCAATAAATGGATACATCTATAAGTGTTGCTCTCCTAAGCCTTGTCTTCTTAGGAAAGCATACTAAAATTTTAAGCTTATTTTTATCTGAACAGATATTTTGCAAATGGTGCAGCTGAACACAAATCCTTGCACAGACTTAGCTGGAAATAGAGCTCAGGTCTCCCAATTCCCCATCAAATTCCCTTCGTTGCAGCTTGCTGCGGGAGCGGAGCCCTAACATATGTTTGTCAATGCAAAAAACTGGAAAACATTGACAGCTAGAGTTTAAATAGTTCATGGAGGAGAGGCATCAGTCCTATCTGGGACTGTGCACACAGCTATGAGAGCATGTCACATCGGAGCGCTTCTCCACCCCAACCCAACAAATTTAGAACCATCCTCAAAAATAGCCCGGGAACAACGTATAATTGGTTTCACAGACAACACATTCTCATGCTGTGATTTATTTCGTAACGTCTAGTGAGTGTCATCACGCCGCACTCAAAGCCTTGGAGCTGGCATTCAGCGAGGGCCCAGAGAATGAAAATTACCAGCTTCCCTGATGAATCACTGCTTTGAAAATTCACCCTTGTGAGAATCCTGTGACTATTTAGAAAAAAAAAAAAAAAGATATTACAAGCCCATCTATCACTCATATAATTAGCCCTTTCTAGGTTTGATGTGGACAGGGCAGCATTCCTAAAGCACCATAAACACGACCAGGACCAATAATGGCTTTAGAAATGAAGTGGAGAAGTTCTCACAATTAAGGTGGGGAATGAGGACAGCTACAGATGGGTACATAAATACAGAGAAAGGCAGGTCTGTGTGCGCACTGTGGGCTCCGGTGCTGAGACGACACCTCTGGCACAGATCGCTTGGCTTGGACTAAAGAGCTACCTGCAGCATGAAGGCAACAGGTGCCTTAGTGCTTCTCAGCCTACTGCTGCTCTCTTTCTTCTCGGGTAAGTGATCTCTTCCCTAGCCTAGGAAAAAAAAAAAAACAACAAACCCCAAACCTTTCCTGACAACAGCAAACTTCAGAGAGCCTTGATCACTGGATGACAGGCTTGAAGATAAAGCTAAGCAAGTAGAAAATATCTGCGGGACTTGCTCACTCGTATGACATATTTCCACTCCTTGTGTGCCTCCGCAGTGAAAAACGCAGCGGAGGTGTCACTGGGAGACAGAGCGAGCAAATTCCAAGCGGCTCTTTCAGCAAATGTACCAAAGCAGAGTGTAATTATGATTTTTTGGTACAAATGTTCACTGGAGAGTTTTGCTGAACCAGTTAGAGAAGAAACTCACTCACCTCAGGGTCACCAGCTCTTGTTTTGATCCTAAGCATCTTGGTATTTGGTGTTTTCCTTGGAGATGTGGAAACGTAATTAGATGAAAGTTTCAGCTTTCATTTATGTTGCAGAGAAAAGCTTGAAAATTAAATTCAAATGTCCTCAAGGAGTCAGAACAAAGAGGGCAAATTAAAAGGATCCAGCATTTATTTATCTGGAGATTTACACATCTCTCTGATGATCCTGGGAAGCTGAGTGATGATTTTTGAACATGTAGGTCATATCAGTGTTACCAATTGCTTGCGTCCAGCTGACCCAGCTCTGCACGGTTTGTGGCAAGAGCTACTGAAGAATGTGCAGCACAAGAATTATTTATACTTGTTTTTCTGTGAATAATTTGAATAAAGAGTTCACTTGAGAAAATTGCAAGCCGTGCATGGAGAAAAGAGGTGAATTACTTTGTACACATTATTCATTATGAAATATTCATCTGTCTCTAATTGAGTCTTAATTGGGACCGGGTTCTGTCAGAGTGCTGCAGCTTCCTTCCAAGGCCAGGCAGAATAACAGCAAACTCTGTGATCTCCTATAAAATAAACAGATGTCAAGAGACATCATCACAAAGTCTTCTGTAGCTGCATGTAATATTTATAAAAACTATCTAATAAGCGATTTTGTAAATAATATGCAGATAGCCATAACAGTGACGTTACAATTAAGGCAGTCTTGCCTAACCTGAGGACATGATAAATACACCAGTGCCAGGGCTAAAGCACCGAAGGGCAACACAGTCGGCAGATGAAGTAGGGTGGGTTGACGGATGACGGTCTAGCTGACTGAGGGTTGGGTGGGATTTCCAATGTCTGGGGGCCCGAGTGTAGGGCAAGGTCCTCCCATCTCCTGCCCCAGGTTCCATCCTGCCCAGAGCCACCTGAGCAGCATCACAGCTGGCAGTGACCCCACGGACCCAGCGGGTGCAGCCTCGCATCTGAACCTCTCCTGCCCTACCGCCGTGTCAGGCGCTGGGTATTTGTCCCACGGTGTTGTGACCCAGACTCTGCAAATCTGCGTTCAATCCGCCCTGGAGTGTCAGGTTTCCCCTTAGAGACATCGCAGGGTCGCCCTGTCCCACAGTTATGACTCAACCTACG